CATTTCCACAATGTGTTGTCTCAATGGTATTTATGTTTGTGAGTGTTCGGTGCTCTGTAGATTATTCCTAAGATGTTGACAGCTTAGGAAAAAAATCAGCCTATTGTCAATATCAGAAGACCCTATTTGGGGTACCATAATGTCTTGGAAAAGTTTTCGGATTTTGCAACTCAAGGATAAACATAGTGTGTACTATTCACTGGAGTTGTATTATGTACGAGTTCTACTGAATCTACTGAAGTGAAACGGCTAACTGCATTTTCTGTTACATCATTTCTTTTCAGGTAACTCCCCCAAAAGACAGTAAAATCCAGTCTTCTATGCTTGGAAAGCCATGTAATTAATAACATACATTTTACATGTGTCAGCCACAATCAGCATGCACAGAACGAGGCCCAAATCTAACACTGAGACATCCCTTCTAATGCAGTATTGTCATTGACTCAAGGTGGTTATTTCCCTGTGATGATAGGATGGGAACCACTTCCACCCTCCCCACACACACACCATAGAGGCTACTCACACAGCCCAAGAGATTTAAGAAGGTGACATGGCACCAAGGTTATCAGGCCAGAGCCACAAAGTCTAAAGGAATGTCTTAGAGGTTATTATAAACAGGTAGTAGATCTGGCTTGTTTTCGGACTTAACAGTGCATGGAAGATGAAAGAGGCTCCACACCCCTATCCCCCACCACCCATCAGCACACACCTCCCCTGTGCTTTGTCTGGAAGCACCCTGCAGAAGCAGCAAAGTTGTGAAAGAGCTACTTTAATTATAAGTGCTACAGTAATGAATTCAAGTACACTCATTCATCATAGAGGGCTTCCCCATCTGTCTCTAAAGTATGCTCAAAAACGCTGTGTATTTGATAACATGAAGGTTGAGAATTTATCACGTTTTAGCTTTAAACACTCCATTTTGGTTAGCTTTTTCTAAGACTGTGCAACTGCATTTTGACTGAAAGAACAGATTGGTGTGTGTGTGCGTGCGTGCACACGCATGTGTGGTCTCTTTCTAATTTATTTGCACTTCAACCCATTGGGATCAAGCTGCAATCCCTGTAGGCAAAGGAAGATTAGGGAAAGCGACCAACTGTTTTTTTCCCAGACACAGAAGGGAAGGCGACTTCTCAAGTACCGCAAATTTTTCTGGCCCCCGTACAAATTGTTCCTGAGTATGGAGTGTTTCCAAAAGACCTAATTAGCAACTCGCTGCAAACATTTCTTTGCATTAGCTAATGATCCGGCTACACTTGTAAGCAAACAGTACCAACATATCTAATCAATGCAGAAAAACCAACAGAATGCCTATTAAACATCTGGATGTAATTTTCTAGTTAGACTTAGGACAAAATGAAAACATATGCAAGTTTCTTTGATCTATGCCTCAACAAAGAAATTGTCAATAAAAAAACACGCTGGCCAGTCAGTGTGTCATTTTCATAAAGCCTGGTCATTTCTCTTCAAATGTTCCCAGTTTAATTTTGTTGGTTTCCTGCAATCTCTAATTTTACCATATTGTGCGAAACCACAAGGGATTCTTTGGATTGGATTTTATTTGAGGTTTTACTGCTGCACGATCTGCTACTGACTTATTTTTTTTAAGTTCAACTCGGGAAATTTTTCAGGGTGAAAGAATGGGAGGAAGGAGCGAATACAGACACAGTGGTAAAATGACCTTCTGCAACTTTTTGAATGTTCTTGCCTACAAGGAAAACTACTAATTAAAAAGAAATCAAATTACAAAGAGAGTATGTAATGGCTATTAGCCAAAAGATAGCGAATAATTAGAAATGAAAGTGCTTTACCCTGCTCATATCATTTATACTCCATAAATAAAGAAATATTTTAGAAATGATATTGTTTTGCATGCCCTCATAATAATTATCATTCTTCCGGCTGTACAGGTTGCTCATTACTCTATACTGTACACTGTGTGACTCAGATGCTATTTTATTCCACCTGTGCTGTCCTGACACTGAAAAGGGCAAAAAAAGAACAGCCCTCTCCCCACCATGTATATATGCATCATTTTAAAAGGCATTCTCTGGTTCTCTTTTGGTTGAAAAAACAACGATCTCTCAATACCAAACTTAGAAACATAAAATCTATTGAATTTTGTAATTGCTTCTTACATTGATGTGCTCTGACTACAAAGGTAAAACAATGAAATAAATCATAAATTTACTAAATTTTTCCCCAGCCCTATCTACAAACTCTTGATGATTAAGACCATCAACATTCTTATTATGTGTGCCAGTTTGGGGGATTTTGAAAAATATTGCTTGTAAACAGTACTGTTAAAAGAAAAGAAGAAAGAAAAAAAACCACACTATCATAAATTGAAAGTCAGACAATAAGTCATATCCCTCAGGAGCAGATGCTACATCTCAACCCCTTTCAGTATACTCAAACTAGATTTTGGATCTGATACTGCCCTTTTTCACTCAAATCTCCAACTGCTTTCAGTGTGAATTTTGAGTACATGGTCAATGCAGGATTACGCCTTCTGATACAGGAGGTAAGAACATGATGTTAAAATCCCCACAGTGGAAAAAGAATTGGTTCAAACAGCAGAGCAGAACTGAAGGTTAATCAGGAGGGTTGGGAGAGGGCAATCTTCTTACTGTACATTTTTAAAAAACATAGCATAATGATTTAAGAACAATTGTTTGTAATTCAGTTTGAAAACTGTGTAGGGTAATTACAGTACCATGGCATAACAGTCTGGCATCAAATACTACCTTGAGTCAAACAAAGCTCTTTCCAACATGCTTGGCCAAATTTTGGCCTATCTTTCACTGGCATAGTTATTGTGTGCTGCCATGAGTAAGGATGTTACGTTTTCCGAGAATAATCCAGACTTATACCTATCTAATAAAAAGGATTATTTTTTGTGCTTCCATCAGCTAATGATGCCAAAGTATAGATTACTTAATTATCAGATAGTGTTGATTACTGCTGATACTAAGTAATGTCAGTTACCACACTCGGAAAAAAAGAAAATTTTGTTTGGTATCACTGTTGCTCTTGCAGCTTCTCTGTCTTGTTTATGATGGAGAAGATTCAAAATGCCGTTAAGTGATTGATTCCAGGATTGAAGGGGGGTAAAAAGCACTTGTTAAATCAGGAAAACAGAGCTTTTCTTCTCTGTTACAACATGCCCTGGACACTTTAATGATGACAAATAAAGATTACAAGGCATTTCAACTTTCATGTAGGTGAGCAATTATAAAAAACAAAACAAAACACAACCTTTTGTTTATGTTCCAAAGCACAGTGTTGTTTTAATGTCGTATCTGTTAATATCTCAATAACAACTTGTGCCAGCAGGTTAAGCAAAGTACAACCAAAGTTAGGCAAGTGCTACATTATTGCAGACTCCATAGCTGCTAGGTACACACACAGAGCATGTAATAATGGTCTGCATATTTATGGTAGCTTTCATCTGAAGATCTGAGTACTTCATAAGCATTAATTAATTAAGCTTTAGAATGCCATGAGCAGAGCAGTGAACTGGCTTGTCCAAGGCAACAGGGGAAGAGCTGGGAAAAGAACTCACGAGGAGGAGCTCCAATTATGCATGCAGAGCGCCAGGCAGGTTTACATCCCCACCTTGGGAAGCACCACCTCACAGTAAAGGCATTTTCACTCTCGTCTTAGAAACAGTGAAGAAGAACAGTCCTCATGTTTCTGTACTTATTTACGCATTCACAAATGTGCATGCTCATGCACATTACCTAAACACACCCATACACATACACACGTGAGTGCCCACAGGCCCGCGGGCCCGGCAAGACACGGGCAGGTGATGCAGAGCCCTGCTCCCAGAGCCCTGCAGCCTCAGGGTGAGTGCAGCTTTCAGCCCGAGCGCTGAGCGGTTCCACGTCCTTTCCTTTTGGTCATTCTGAAACAGAACTGCGCACAGCACAGCACTGTGCACAACCTCCTATCCCGGTACCTCCTCGCGTCAGGTTTCCTAACAAACTCCAAACTTCGGGTTCCTTACACAGCTCCAAGTACTAAGTAAAAAGCATCAAGGGGCAACGCCACAGCGCGTACAGCTACCCCGTAAAACGCTCCGAGCCGTCATTCAGTCTCACGACGCCCCACTCCAGACCTCCGCACCGCCCCCCGCCCTGGCGGACATCAGCGCCCTGCCTCCCTGCCCCACAGCACCACCGACCCCATGCGCGCAGGCGCCGCGCGCTGTGCGAGAAGCAGCCCCACGTTACTTTGACTGACAACTCAGCCTCCCTGCTCCCCTTCCCACAGACCTTCCCCTCCTCCCTGCACTCGGCGCCCTCCCATTGGCCGGCACGGAGGGCTCCCGCCGCTCCGCCAGAAACGCTTCCCAGCGAAAGGCTGAGAGGCGGACGGAGCTGCGCCCGTTCCATTGGCTCGCGGCGCAGGACGCATCACGCACCCACGTTGGTGCGGAGGCCGGCGACTGGCTGCTACCGCCATCTCTCCCACCTAAATGAGCGCTGTGGGAGGGGCCGGGAGACTGGTTAGCCGGAGGAGTGTGAAACCGCGTGTTAATGCAAACGGCGCGGCGAGCACGGCGCATCCTGCCCGGTCCAGCCGTTCCCGTCCCGCCGAGGGCGTCCCGCGGGGCTGCCGCGCTGCGCTCCCCCGCATCCCTGCGCGGAGCAGGGCAGGGCCAGGCCGCGCTCCTCGACCGGACGGAACATCACCTCGCCGGGACAGCGCCGGGACGACGAGAGCGACGGCGAGAATGGGGAGGAGTTCGCGATGCGCCGTGTGCTGCTAAGGCGCGGAGCCGCCCGGTGCCGGAGGCCGTCGCCCTCCTAATCCCGTTCGGAGCGGGCGCTCCCCGCCCTTTGTTGTGCTGTCTCCGTCGCCGCGGGGCCGCCCCGCGTCCGCCCCCCGCGGAGCCCCGCTCCGGCCGCCCCATGAGCCGCCGGCGGTCAGGAGCAGCGCGGCCGTCTCCGGAGGCTTCCCGCCCGCCCCTCTCGCTGTGACGGCCCCGCCCGGAGCCCACTACAGAGCCGCTCGCCCTCGTGACTCGCCCGTCCCGTCCCACGGAGCTACCGCATCAGAGTGGCCGCGGCCGGAGGATGTCCCTGCGGCGGGATAACTGAGCGCCGCGGGACGGTGTGAGGCGCGTTCGGAGACATGTTCCCGCAGAGCCGGCACCCCGTGAGTACGGCGCCGGGCGGGACCGGCTCTGCGTGCGGCGGTCACTTTCCGCCCCGAGGCGCGGGGAGCGGCGGGGAGGAATCGGACCGCTCAGCTGCGGGAGTCGGCGGGAGGAAAGGGCTGGGGCCGGGGTCGCGGCAGGAATGGGGCGGGCGGCGGGACGGACCCTCGTTGCGTCCCGCCCCGTCCGCGCGCTCTGACTGTGCCTTTCTCTCCCGGTCCGTCCGCACCAGGCGCCGCACCAGGCTGCGGGGCAGCCCTTCAAATTCACCATCCCGGAGTCGCTGGACCGCATCAAGGAGGAGTTCCAGTTCCTCCAGGCTCAGTACCACAGGTGAGCCGCGGTGGGGTCGCGTCGGAGGGCCGCTCCGAACCGCTCCTCCCCCCCTGGGCGCGGGGTTGCAGCGAGCGGCCGCGTCCAGGCGGTGGCGTGTGGGGCCGGGGCGGCGCGGGGCCCTCGGGCGGGAGCTCGGCTGGAGGCGGCCGGGCCCGGGGTGAGGGGCGGGGAGGTGTTACGGGGGGAGAGTGGCGTGGCGCGGAGGGCGGCGGAGGAAGATCCTTCCTCCGTTGCGTGCGGTGTTCACTCTAAGGTGAATCCGACGCCGACGTGCTGTGCTAAAAGAGCCTGGTGGATGGCAACTTTGTAGCGCAGAGTTAAGCGGCGGTCTCCTGAAGCCACGAGGTGCGCTTCTTCGCGCGGCGCTGTACGGTTCTTTGGTGCTGGAACCCCGCAGGGAGCGGGTTCCTGCCTGCAGAGGGTGTTTGGCAATAAGAGGCTTTTGTCTCTCGATTTTGTACTCCCTTGCACCTGGATAGGGATAGAAGATCTGTTACTTTCCATGCAGGAAGTCAGCCGACTGAGGCTGGGGTTCTCTTTGATTTCCACACTAGTTTGATTCTCACTCGAGATTGTTGATTTGTCTGAGCCGTCAGTTAGAAATGAGGTATAAACTGTGAACATTCGGTATTGCAGTTGTAAGTGGAAAAAGGCTGCTTTCCGCAGCGTTTGTTTCAAAGTATGCTTTAAGGTGGCCCTTAAAATAAAAAACAAAAAAAAATGTTGCTGCTTTTGCTTTGTTCAGTCAGAGTCCTTAAAGCGATGCTGCTGTTTGTGAAGAGACAGATAACTTCTGAAAACAAATTTGCTAGCAAATGGCAGTCAGTTACTGCTGTACGGCTGCAGGCAAGATAACCCCAGCTGGAGGTGCCTGGAGGTTAGGAGATGGAGATATGCCTGAGATGTAATTCTAACCACAAATGGTGCCGTTTGTCTGTGACTCTGGAAGTCACAAGTGAGGAAATACTCCTGGCTGCTCAGAGGAACTTTGGAGAATGTCTGATCCTGACACAGCCCAACAGTCCATGTCCTTTGCCTGTCTCCGTAGCTCTGGAGGCAGCTGCAGCTCTCAGGCAGCACCACAAAATACTTTCTGAATTTCCTGCTCTACCCTTGTGTTTAAAGTATGAATTAAGCATTTATCTGTCTGTTTGCATGTGAGTTATGAGGTTTTTTAATTAGCTGTTTTTGTCAAAACACAAATAAAGTGGGTAGGTGTCAAAACAAATGACATAGTAGTTACATTGAAGTGTGATCTATTTTGTAGCCTTAAACTGGAATGTGAGAAACTCGCCAGTGAGAAGACAGAAATGCAGAGGCACTATGTGATGGTAAGTTTGTTTGTTCTTTATTTCAGTAAAGATCTTACAATACAATGCAAGCCGGTATATAAAAAAATAATACGTGCTCCTTTATTTGCAGTATTATGAAATGTCATATGGATTAAACATTGAAATGCACAAACAGGTAAGGCATTTTGTTTTCTAAACCACAGAAATTTGCAATCAGTCTTCATTTAAGTGTAGCAGCTGTGTTTGTCTTCAGATAACTGCGTTGCATGTCTGAATAGACTGACTGTAGCTGTGGTTAGCAGACCTATGCCTACCTACTGTCAAATGTGGTGTAGGTTAGGCTGAGTGACACAGCTGTCTTGCTGTTGGTCCTGAAAGGTGATGTCAGAGGTAGGAAAGGTCTCGTCTCTGTTTTTGAAAGTGTAATTCAGTGCTTATGTGTTTCTGATTTGTCGCTGGTAGGAGGGAGCCTTTGATGATGACTTTGTAGCGTATGTAGTGACAGTTGCTCCAGTACTTGCCATTTAAAAGTATGAAAGGGTTAGTGACTTGGAAAGCTCAAGTTATGACTATGAATTTTCAAGTTCCCATAAAATTCACACTTACAGCCACTATAATGGTGAATAAAAAGAGTGCTGAAGTAGAACAAGACACTAAAGACCTCATAAGAGAAGAAAACTAAATGATTGCTCAGCCCAGAGGACCCTCAACTAAGTAGTCATTGTCTGCCAAATAAAGCTTTAATGGTAGGGTGTAAGTATTCTGTAGATATGCTGACATTCACTTTTTCATCAAGATGCTGGTACAATAAGTCTTTCAGAAATCGATGGCCTCTTAAAAAAATTATCATTAGATGAAGTTGCACAGTTGGACACATTTCAAAGTGCAACAATACAACTCTTTCTTGAAGTGTATGTGCTATTTCATCTAAAATTCTTGTTTCATTAAATTAAAGAGCATGGATGACCGGTTAGGGCATAGCGAGTAAATTGATTAGTTCAGGCTTCGGATCTTCAGTATATTCAAAGACTTTCATTAAGTAAGTGAACTGCGGAGTAGAATTCTTCTTTTGTAACTCTGAACTCTTTGATTTTTATTTTGTGTTCACTTAAAAATATTGTATTTTGTGAGGTGGTATGGTGGTTCCTTGGTAACATTGTTTGCAAAGCTAGGCTAGTGCTCCACAGTGTTTTTTAGAGTTACACTTGTTTGAATCCAAAATGCTGGTAAAAGCAGGGATGTTAGACGGCCTAGTTGTTTTGAAACGATGCACTGAATAGGCAAATAGAACAGTAGGAGTGGTGGGTAACTTGGTTCAGCGCTGTGCTATGTTTTTGTCCAGTCTGTGTTAAAAGAATGGCATTTTCTCAGTGAGGTAACTTTTTTTTTTTTCCTCTTTATCCACTTGATCCTGATTTTTGGGTTTTTGTTTATTTAGTCTATTGTAAAGCTCAGAATAAATAACTTGTGAGGAAGACAGTGTCCATACAGGGGGTTGAGTTGGTGCAAAATGGATGTTATCTTCAGAAGATCTTGACAAAGTCAGGTGACTTCTGTAAATGTACAAGAAAATTAAGTAAAATCAATTAAGCCCATGAGATTAAAGAGCCTCAGAACTGAGGTTTCCACTTTGACCTTAACATCTGTGCATTGCAAAGGTTTAATGCTCTGTATATATGGCAACTATAGTTATCTACCCGGTATGCAGTGATACTTGGGAAGCTTTTAAGATTTATGGCAGTCCATTATATCTGCATTGATTCTGGTGGAGGAGAACAGAGCACGCTTACTCCCTGTGTGCTGTTAAGGAAAGAAAAAGCATTTGAAGGAATAAATAGTTTTTCTTGGTTATGAGTTTTAGATACTATGCTTTTACATGTTGAGGAATTCTGAAAAGAACAGCACCTTCATGTTAAAGATTTAGATGACTACAGTAAGGTTTCCTAGCGCTGTTAGAATTCAGTATGTAGGTGATCGAACAGTAAGGAGACAAAAAAAGCAAAGCAAAAAAAAAAAAGCCACCAATGACATTCTTCTGAATTTCTACTTCTAACGGTAAGTTCTGAGGAGGCTTTTGTCAGATAGTAATCATAATTCTTATTAAAACTGGTGACGTCTAGCCCCACGGGTGTAGCCAGGCTCAAATTGATGCTTTTTGCTGGCTGATCACCAGCATGGCCTAAGTGCTCATTATGTTGTAGAGAGGGCCTTTGGAGCTCTCATTATGTTTGACAGGAATTCTCTCTAGGGGGAAACTGGGCATTAGCTAGACTTCTGACAGGCTGAAATTATTCCTGCTTTATGGCTTATAACCAAATGCTAGCAAGGCATCATCAGGGGACATGAAAAATTGTCATTTCTGACAACATCTTTGTTACTGAAAGATGCAGTGATGGGGAAACTTTCCACTGAACAAGCTTTTATGTTCTTAAGGCCTACCTTCTACGTGGATGCTGTAAGCACCCTGTGTGAAGCCTTCAGAGTGCTTGGGCTGCTGATTTGAAAATAAAAAAATTGTACTGCAGTGGTGTTAGCTTGTGCAGTGTGCTGTCCATATCACTGTGGAAGGTGGGGGTCACTTTCGTTAAAGAAAGTGGTTGTAGTCTGCCTGCTGATAAAAAGGTTGATTTCTTGTGCTGATGCAGTTGCTTCAGTTACTAAACTCTTCATTTAATTCTGTAATCTATTATGATTATAATTTGGCTAAAATGGTTAGGACTTGAATGTTGCTGTATGCAGGTTTGACTGAGGCAAACTCGCCAAACAAAAGCAGCTGTATGGCAGAGTTTTCAACTTGAATACACTGCATTTGTGTCAATGAATGGCTGCATGAAGGCTTTCTTAAGCTTCAGCTTTGGCTCTTTGTAGTGTTTAACTTTGCACAATATGCTTAAACCCAGGTACTGCATTTGAGTGCTTTTGAGCTTGCTGACTGAACACAAATCAGGACATAATAATTGACATACTTGTGGGTGGTTTGTGTTTTCTTGATTTGTTTCTGTTTTTATAAGAATATCAAAGGTTAATTCTTAAGAGGATGTTGTGCCTGGATTTTTGTACTGTTTACAGAGCTGATTATCTTAAGGTGTATACAGTTACTGATTAACATTACTGTCTCTGAGACAGAAACAAATTTGAGGATTTGCTGAGGATAGGTGGGGTTGATTCAGGTGTTGTTTTCATGTGTGTTGTGGATTGAATTAACAGATGAGAGAAACTGAAGAGAGTTTTTCCCACTGTGACATCTGTGGCTGGCAAAGCAGATGTGTCAACTGCTAGTGCCAAGATGTAGAGTCTTTTGGGTATTAAAAGGCCCACTGTACTTGAAGGGTTACTGCCCTTGGCTATTAGGGAGAGATGCTGAAAATAAAGAGGTGCTGCCCTGTCATCTTCTGTCATAAGTCGAGAGATAAGGCTTCCTGTGTGTTTAATGCCTAGATTGTTCAGGTGCAAGATTAGCTCTTGCTCAGTGGCAGGCAGCCAAAGAAAGAAAAAATCATCACTGCTGAACTAACTGACAGACTGTATAAACTACTACAGTATTTGAGTGTCTGCAATCCCAAAGGTGACAGCTGGTTTTCCTTCTCTTTGGGTGGGTTATTGTGATCTTTGTGACCTGCCTTGAGGGAGGAACGTCATTCAGTAGAAAAAGAGGAACGGGGAGTGGAAAAGGAAGGAAGGGTTCTTTCACAGTGGGTTCTGGGGTGAAAGGTAAACACCTTTTTCTGCTATTTGCAATACAAATCAGGCTAGTATTTGAATTGCCTTTCAGCAATTTTAGCTTTGTAGCAAAGGGTTAAAATTACATTTCATCTTCTGTGCAAAATGGAAGATAGTGTCTTCTGGATTTGTGGGTAGGTCACCACTGGCCTCCTATAGAAAAGTATACAAATTCCTGAACTGCATTATGCTAACCAGTTGTGCAGCAATTAAATGTCTGTTTCAGTCCAGAATGTTTTATGAAATAATTTCTAATGCTCTTTGTTCAAGGACTGAATCTTCTATTGATATCTCATTAGAACATCAGTCTTCAGGAGTGGGTTAAATAGAAGGGAATTAAGAAGCTTAGTTACCTCTCTACAGCTCCTGAGGAGGATGGCTGTGCTATTGAAAGGGATTTAAAGATAAATTAATTTTTTCTTTTTTTTTTTTTCTACTTGCATTTTAATTACTATAATGAAAAACGGCATGAATCCTAAAGGTTTTGATGCACTGTAAGTACTTCAAGAGAGTTTTACAGTTGGATCTGCTACCTGCTTTTATTTTAAAAGAGAAAATAGGATTGATTGGGATATATTTTTCCCTCTACAGTTGTATTTATTCTATAAATACTGGATTTCTAAGTGTTTACAATTGTATCGCCAGTATAGCCATTTAAGCTACATCTACAGTTCCTAAATAAGGAGGAAAGCCTAGAGAAATGAGATCAACTTTCTCAACTTTGAAACTATGTTCAAGCTCTAGACTGACATTAAGGAATTACCTGACAGATTCAGGGCGCTGTGTGAAATATGTCTCCATGAGGCTTTTAGATAACCATATTGTCAGATACTATCTATTATGCCAGCTAATATACAACTTAATCAGAAAGTATGTCACAGTATAAACACTCTACATATGTTAAATACTGTCAGATCATCTTGCATTTTGAAATGGGTCTGCCAGATTTCAGGTTCATCGCAGGATCATTCAGGGAAAGGAGAATCTTTTTTTTTATTATTTTTTTTGATGATGTTGTCAAACTTCCTTTGTAATGCTAGAACTTAATTTGCTAAATTTCTGTTATTGTACTTTATGGATTGGCTCAAGCAAGCTTGTGGGTTTTTTTATTAAAAAAAAATGATATTTTTGGAACAGGGAGTGGAAAAGGAAGAAAGGGTTCTTCTCTCACAGTGGGTTCTGGGGTGAAAGGTAAACACCTCTTTCTGCTATTTATTTGTAATACAAATCAGGCTAGTATTTGAATTGCCTTTCAGCAATTTTAGTTTTGTAGCAAAGGGTTAAAATTACATTTCATCTTCTGTGCAAAATGGAAGATAGTGTCTTCTGGATTTGTGGGTGGGTCACCACTGGCATATACTGGCATCTAAAAACAACATTATGTTAACTTGCACTTATCAGAAGACTCTACAGTGCTTATTAATTTAAAAATGATAACAACGTTCAGTAGAGCTA